AAGGGCGCCACCGAGCAGAGCCAAACCGCCAGCCGCACTAGCCACGCCAGTAGCAATCTTTGCACCGTTGCCGCCGCCACCGGCCGTTGTGGTATCCGCAGCAGGCGTGGTAGTAGCGGTCATCGGCCTCGTCGTAGTAGTAGTCGGCTTCGCTTTAGTCGTAGTATTCCGCTTGGTGGTAATCGGTTTGGCCGTGGTAGTAGTAGTCGGCTTGGTAGTTGCTGTCCGCTTGGTCGTAGTAGTGGTCGTGGTGGGCTTGGTCGTAGTAGTGGTCGTGGTGGGTTTGGTCGTAGTAGTGGTCGTGGTGGGTTTGGTCGTAGTAGTGGTCGTGGTGGGTTTGGTCGTAGTAGTGGTCGTGGTGGGTTTGGTCGTAGTAGTGGTCGTGGTGGGTTTGGTCGTAGTAGTGGTGGTAGTCGGCTTGGTCGTACGCGTGGTTGTGGTGGTCGTTGTAGTCGGTTGAGGCGTGCTAGGGTGGGGGTCGCAGGAGTCTCGTTGATCGCTGCAATGTTTCCAGCCACTCAAGCGGTTGTCGCTAGCCCACACGCAGCGCGTCGTATCGTTGCACTTGAGGCAGTCGTAGAGGTTTTTGCAGGCGTTTTCCATCTCGGTGTTGCAGTAATTGGAGTTGAGCCCCTTGCCGCCGGGGAAGACGGTCTCGAGTGGGCTGGCCACTTGGTCGGCGTTCTTGAGAACGCAGCGGCCGGTCTTGTCGTTGGTGCCTTCTCCGATGCTGAATGTGAATCGGACGCAGGTGGGGTCGTTCTGGCAGAGCATTTGGCACAACGCGGGGGAAATGACGTAGTCGTGGGAGAAGTACCCGGCAAGCTCGGCGGGCTCGGAATAGCCGTAGATCCAGTTGTCGAAGCAGGAGCCGCTGCTGGTGGTATGCCCGTTGACGACTTCCAGCGTCTCTACGCCACAAAGCGAGGCAAAGGAAGCGTCGTCCTTTGGGTTCCCGCCGTCGTCTTGAATGGCTAGGCATTTATCCCGACACTGGTAGTTCCAGACCGAAGCATCGAGAGCTACCACGTCGTCGCAGTTGACTTTGGCGCCACCGGAGGCGGCGAGGCAGTGCTCCGTGCCCAGGGATCCCTGGATGGACCAGTCGTCACAACAGGTCTCGAGATCCTGGAAGCAACTATACCAGTTCCCATTAACCACACATTGCGAATCGCGCACATCCGGACATTCACCGCATACGCCCGTAGACGGGTCCGGAGCATAGGGACAGCTGCCGGCTGCAGTTGCTGCGAATAGTCCAATCAACTGGTAAGTCTGAAGTCTCATCGCGCGTCACAAAATGTGCAGTGCATGCGATTGCCCGCTTCTCCACGAGTCAGCACACATTTTCCGACACGACTTTAGAAATAAAAGCCGACCTTGGGGCCACCTTGGACCTTGTAATTCCGACCTAGGGGCCGCCTTGGTAGAGGACTTAAAACCAAAAATCCATTCTGCTGTCGCCTCGAGCCCATAGATATACTCACTAGTACGGGATCTCGGTGACCTTGGGAGCGTCTGCCCGTTTACGCCATTTCGGCGCGGGGTGAAATCAACAAATGATTACATTCCGATAGGCAGCAGATCTCCTGCGTCCTCGGCCCTGGCCGCTTCCGAGTCGTACGGCCACAGCATTCTTCATTT